AAGACATTGTCTTTATATTCCTGTTCACAGTTTTCAATGTTTCTAACTTAATACATAAATTGACCTGGTTGCATAATCCTCTTAAACTGAGAGTTTCTTTGAAAGAAAAATGCCAAGCAGATCAATACTGTTTTTATAGCATAGTTTTTCTCATCTCATTGCTATATAAATTTAAATACTTTATTGAATTATTTAGAAATTTCTCTTTTCTTCAGGATGTTGAGATAGCTTGCATCTCAGTACCATTATCATTCCCATCTGATAAACTTGCTCTGGGAAAAGAAAGGAAAGCTGCCTTTCAGAAAAAAAAACCCTCAAATTTTTCTAATGCATTGTGGTTACCCACCCAGACTTATAAAGGTGAGAGCATTCAGTTTAAACAAGTGGCTTCCAATTATGGTAAGGCCCTGTTTCTATTTGTTTTTTGCTTATTTATTAATATGCAATTTGTAGTTAGATGGCACCAGTAATGGAAAAATTTCGTGTCATCTTTTCTTAAGACCATTACCAATTTCCTTTTCTCATTTCTAATTCTAGTTCTGACATGATACTCTCTCTTTCCCTATTTTTCTATATCTCTCCCTCTCTCTGTCCTTTCTCTCTGTCTTTTCTTCTTCCTTCCCCTCCTCCATCACTTCCCTCTCTTCTCTTTCTCTCCTTTTTCCATCTTTCAAATTCCTTCCTTCCTTCCTTCCTTCCTTCCTTCCTTCCTTCCTTCCTTCCTTCCTTCCTTCTCTCCCTCCCCCCTCTCTCACACACATGCATGTCAATTACTTCTACCTCTATATCATTGTTTTTCTTGAAGCAGGTCAAATTCTGGTGTCCTTACTGGCTCCAAGGTCACAATTCTCCAGCCTCCTAGGAGACTAGAAATGCGACTGTACTTAAACAAAAATAGCTTCATGCAGCTTTAACTTCAACTCTTCAAACTCAGAATCCAGATTTTATAGTATGACCAACTAGTTTATTATTTACACTTGAGGAGCCATTATGTGTTTCTGAAATTTCCTATCCTCATTATAACATGCAGATCTTAATTATTTGTTGCAGTTATTATTGGCTTTTGAAAGTTAGACCTTAAACACTTTTATTTTGTTTTCTTTATGCTGAGAAGAATTTCATGTGAGTAGTTACTGGATTATTAGCCAGCTCTTCATTCCAACTCACTGTATGCATTTTAACCCAGCTTGGCATGGTTGCTTTTCTTTCCCACAAGTCTCTATTGTCAGGGATGGCAGTTTTTGAAATGAAGTGCTAGTCAGTTTTTCTAAGAAACCTCCCATCTGAATTTGTGTGTAGATTCATCTCCTTCCCCTTTCAAAAGGGGAAGTGTGATAACCTCACTAGCACAGATAGTCATAGCTTTTCTCAATGCCCATATCCCTGGTCTGGCAGATACCATCGTGGTAAACAAATAATACCCCTGCACAGTTTGTGTAGGTATGGTGGTTTGGATGAGAATGAATCCATAGAATCATATATTTCAATGGTTGGTCCCCATTTGGTGTATTTTTTTGGGGGGAAGGGTCAAGAGTATGGCCTTTTTGGAGGAGGTGTGTTACTGGGTGGTAAGTTTTGTGGATTAAAAAACCAATGCTATTCCCAGTTGTCTCTCTTCTGCCCAGTGGCAGTTGTTTCAACATGCAAGCTTTCAGCTACTGCTCTAATGTCACCCTTACCTGCCATCATGCTCTTTATCATGACTCTCAGGGACTCACCCTCTGACATTGTAATTCCAGTAAACTGCTTCTACAGACTCCCTTGGTCAAGGTGTCTTAACACAGTAATATGGAAACAACCAAAAAATGTGAGATAATTGACTGTCTTCTCATTCTTTCTAACACAAGTAGGCAGGAGAACCAGTTTCTCTTCTCGCTTTTGCATGAAGAAACAAGTTCATGTTCAGCTACCTTCTCATCCCCCCTTTTTAAAAATATGTTATGGGAAAAATTTATTTCCATCAATGGAACTGTGAAACTAGTGAAATTGTCATTATTTTTCTTTCTTCTCTCTTTTCTTTATTAATTTATTTTTTAAATTCCAAACCCAGTTCTCCTCCCTCCTTTTCTTCCCTACTCCCCCTCCTACCATCTGCTACATGAAAAGGGTAAGGAGCGCCATAGGAAGTCTACTAAGTCTGTCCCATCATCTAGTTCAGGCAGGATGAAGGCACCTCTCCACCCCCACACCCCTGTGTCTAGGCTGTGCAAGGTATGTCTCCATACAGAATGGGCTCCACTAAGTAAGTTCTTCTCATCCCTCTTAACACTGGAGGCATAAGGAGTGAAGAAGTACAGGCACATGGCTAATGGCGTTGTGTTTCTATTCATGTTGGCTAAAAATAGGCATGATGCCATGACTTTCCTCTGTTTTGTCATTCTTCCTTAGAAGTACTAAGTTTCCTTTGTTGCTTTAAATTTTTCTTTGCTTGTTGCTGCTCTGAGCTTGAGACTTAACAGCACTGTCTTGGACATATGAAGCAGTTTACTAATTTGTTTTTCTGTAAGTCCTAGGTCCTCAAGTAGCTGGCCTGATTTATGTACCCCATTCAGAACATTTCTGCTATTGTTTGTGCATTGTTGTACATTTTTATATCACATAAAAGAATAATTAGGAGGAATTGAGCTGTTTTTCCCCTTTTAGTTGAAACTGTGTATTCATAGCAACTTACTGCTCAGACATGGTGCTTTAAGGCAAGCAGCAAGCAGGAAATATTTACATGTTATGTGCAAGCAATACTTCATGAGAAAGCATTTTTCTCCTCTGATCTTTTTTGATAAAGTATCACTTTTCAAAGTTGTTACCCAGTTTTAAACTCTGTTTAACTGAATTCAGCACCTATTTTGGTAGCTCCAAATAATGCAATATTGTCTCCCTCCCACACTGATCATTTTAATATATGTTGAAGCTTTGGTACTAATGTAGGTTGTTGTTTCCATTTGTGAAGTTTTCTTTCATGGACATTAACACCTCTTCATTTTACTAAATATGTATTATATGAATACTTAAATATGTGAAAATATCTTAAGTAATCTTGACTCAACACATACAAAATGTGTATAGCATTGATAAAGGTATGAAATACAAGTGATTAATGGGATTCTATTTTTTCTACTGTAGGTCTTCAATTTGCACCCAGTGAAGTATGGTGCTGGAAAGAGGTAGGCAAATACAACCTTTGTGTTGAGGAACATTGATCAAGGATAAGTAAAACACCATAGTCAAAACCTTTGTCTCTGGTAGAGAACATACTCTTGTTTCCTGCTTTTCTAGTGATATCCTTTATTTCTACTAGACGGCATGTTTCTCCTTAGTAAAATGAAGAGAAGATAGTTTTTTAAAAAAGCAATCTTATATTTTTTAAAAATAACAGTCAACTCTTATTTTTAATGTGTCTTCATTTCTATAACTCTGTTGGTTAATGAAAAGAACATAACCCCGATTATTTTAAAAATGTTTTCATATTTTCAAAGTAATATGTCCCTAAATGTATTGTAAAATTTCTGAAGAATATTTAAATAATGATGCAAATATCTTAGGATATAGTCCATATATTGATTGAAAATACAATTGCCTTTAAATATTTGCTTTTAAATAGTATGTTCACACCATGGTTTTATGTAGTAGAACGAAATGTACAGGGCTCTGTTGGATTCAGGATTATATTGAGAATACAAAATTTTGTTTTTAGCTTCGGAGAATTAAAATAATTTTAATTACATTTTGTATTTCTGAGAATTACTAATTCATAATAAAATGTGCTCTTCAAAGAAATATTAAAATATACAGTGATAGAATATTGAGATACACAAAGAAATCTTATTCAAAGATTTTCAGATGGTGCCTGTGCTGCAGGACTTAATTAGGCATGAGCAAAGAGTCTTAAAGAACTAAGATCCACAGGCAGGAAAAAGAAAGCATTTCACAGACGGGAATAAACTGGCCAAAGCACATCTGGTCGAGACAAAGTGTTCCAGGGCAGTTGATGAAATTGGGCTGGAAACATATTTTGGACTGGGTCATTTTGGCCCTATTCACAGTTCCGAGAAAAGTAACTGCTAATTGCTTCAGAATGAGGGGAAATTAAGATCTGTAAAGCACGATTAAAGAGCACCTGCTTGTAACAATATGATGTCAGGACTCTGGGTAGAGTGAACCCACAACCTGAATGAAGAGCGTAGTGTGTTTCCAAAAATACTAGTTATTCCACTACTTTTGAATCTTATAAAATCCTAAGGTGTTCAGAGAAAAGAGGATGACATATTTTGAGTGAAATAACTTTTAGAGGCTAAAATAGCATGAAGTCTTTAAATCTATTAAGTTCCTTTTTACCACACCAGACATTAAACTGAAAATGATACCATTAAATAGGAGAACTCTCCTGGCTCCCATTGCTCCCAAGTGGTCATGAGTGAAAACCTATTCTCAGGAATCTGCAAGTTCAACTGTAAAACAGCACAGACTGATATAAAAACATAGGAACAAAGAGGAAACTCTCAAGGCCTGAGCAGACAATCTCTTCCTTGGAATAAGCAAAAGTCAAAATTATTACTCTGAATATACCTTCTAAAATATTTTTCATTTTGTAAAATACATGATACACATATTTGTAAATTAAGAGAAAATATTTATAATAACCATAAAATAAAAAAGCTAAACTATTAGAATTTATACCCTGATTTAGGTCTTGAAACAATTTTCATTTAATGGAGAAGTTTTAATATTAGGACAGAAAGTTCACCCATGTCTTTAACATAGCTTCCATTAAGACTGGAGAAATTAACCGTATCTGTACAGGATGCAAACTGTTCATCAGAGGCTTGTCCTAGTTACTACAGTACTATACTTAGAAAGATTATGGTACTAGATCTATTTATTTTTACTATTGGACTGCAGCTGTTTTTAGGACTTCATAGCACACCTAGGAAATAAATGCATGTTTGTCAAAGCAGGGATATACACACCACCATATTCATTTAGCTCACATATTAAGAATGTCTACATTTACTTGACAGAGGAAATACCATGATCACAACGGTAGTTTTCCCAGGGTGAAGCTTATCCATTGCACGCTGGATATGCTGATCCCTGCAATTTCCCCAAATTCGGGAAACTAGACTGAATAATTTGGGGTAGTGGGGGACTGCCTTTGTGCCCCCCCCAAATAAGTCATACCTAAATAGATTTGCTGAGAGAATAGATCATTCTGGTATCTGGGAAAGACCCCTCCAGTGTGTGTAATCTCTATCCCACTGTCTTTTTCAATCTGTCATATTTCAGGGCCTTTATGGGCTTAGCAATTTCCATTAAACGTAATCATTACAAGAAATACAAAATTTCACAGCATTGCATAATGTTCATTCAAATGTCTTTATGTTTCTTGTCTAATTTTCCACTATGTTGTCTAAAAACAAAATCATGAATAGAATTTGTAAGAAAGTTGAGATGTGTGTAATTTAGTTTATAACAATAATGATAGAAAAATAAAATACCAAAAGATACAATGAAGAAAGCTCAGGCCATATTGGGTGCTAATGGATTTTCAAGGCTATTTGGCTCTTACTGTGAAAGATGTTGGGACCTTTGGAGGCACTTCAGCAGATGGGCGACATGATCTCAGCTATTTCTTTTAAATGAACAGTACCAGCTGCCATGTTCAGAAGGGACTGTAGGGGCACATTGAGGATTCTGTTAGAGCAATCCAGGTAAGGAACGGCAGTGTCTTGCTTGACCAGGAAGGTTAACAAGATGCGCCTATGGCTGAAACACAGCTATGTGGCTGATAGAAGACTGAAAGGGTTGTGGTTGTATTTCCAGGGTAAGCTGATAAATAGGAAGAACTGAAGGAGAAAGAAGAAAAAGAAAAATGGAATAGTTAGAAAGGCAAGCCCTGTGAAATGCCACCTATATATAGAAAAGTTGTGTGAATTCAAGAATTGGAAGGGGAAAAATAGAACTAATTCTGCCCAAAAAAATCCAATTAGGAAGCAGAAACTTCAGCATGAGTACCATTTAGGAAGGCAGTGCACTTTAATTAAAATTGATGGGTGCTCTCATACATTCACATGGCTCCTGTCAGGCCCATCTGTCCGGGTGCTATGACTGCCATCTAAAAACCATTATGCCAGATTCACAGGCCACAGGTGCCAACCCAAAATAATTTTAAAGATTACTTTGAGCAGGTAGAAATATACCAGAAATAGCACAGCCATGCAGGAATATTCCACTGTGAGTTTGGTAGCATTTTATAATTCTAAGAAGAAATTTAAAACATGTACAGTTTAGACACTGAGCTGATTCGATCTCTTGTGACCTATGGGAACTGCAAAAACATCTTAGCGGTTTCCACTAGCTCATTCCATTTTCGGAAATACTAATGTCCACAGCATTGTGCAATGCATGGTATACCAATATCTCCATTTATTTTTTCTTTTCTAATTTGTATCTATATAGTTTATATTATTCAAGTCTTCTTGCTTCCAATGGGCCCAAATGAAAGAAGTGCATTCTTCCTCTTTTTCAACACTATTATGCATTTTTCTTATATTCACATCAGCTAATTTTCTGTTTTTGGTGAAATCTAAAAGTTAGAATTACATGATGTCTTTTGCTAACCTGATGGGAAATCGGGTTGTTTGTTTTAGGTGTCTGGTGTGTACTGAAGTTCTATTATTTGTATCTACATGTAGTGATCCGTTCGTTATCTATGATTTAACAAAGCCACTGGAGATCAAAATGCAAAGCTAGCCACAGCCATACAACCAGGCAGTGGTGTTACACAACTTTAATCCAAGCACTCGGGAGACCGAGGCAGATGGACTTCTGTAAATTCAAGGCCACACTGAGCAACATGAAATCGATCCAGTCGAAAAGAGAAACAGCTCAAACAAGGATGGTCTCAGTACTTGGGATCACATTCCTTTAATCCCAACACTAGGGAGGTGGATACAGGAGTGATGAGGCCTGGCAAAGAGGAATATGAGGTGGGAGGAGACGGGAACTCAGAGGACTGCAGTCTGAGGTTTGGTGGAGAGCAGTGCAGTGTGAGGATTTTTTTTTTGTTTTGTTTTGTTTTTTTTTTTTGGTTTTTCGAGACAGGGTTTCCCTGTGTAGGTTTGGAGCCTATCCTGGCACTCGCTGTGGAGACCAGGCTGGCCCCGAACTCACAGAGATCCGCCTGCCTGCTGGGATTAAAGGTATGTGCCATCAACGCCCAGCTCAGTGTGAGGATTTGTGGAGACAGGATCACCATTTCAGTCTGCGGCAGAGGTAAGAGCTAGCAGCAGCTGCTTTGCTTCTCTGACCTTTAAGCTAGAAAGCCCAGTATCTGGCTCTAGGGTTTTATTATTCATGTTACAACTACATCTATAACATCTCTGTTATATTTGGGACCAAGGAGTGCATGCACTGCAGCTTCTTGGAAGTTGCTGGCTAATTCTAGTTAGAGCGTGTTGAAACTACTCTGAATTCAGAGAAACTGATAATGGAAAGTATAGTTTATCTTTTTAAGCTAGTCACAGTCTTAAATTACCCAAACAACTCAACACGCGGACACACACACACACACACACACACACACACACACACACGCGCGCACGCAAATACACACACACACACACACACACACAAGGAGAGACACAGAGATACAGAGACTCAAAGAGACAGAAATACAGAGACACAAAGAGAGAGATGGATAGAAAAGAGATTCAGAGAGAAACATGGAGAGATAGAGAGACAGAAACCCAGAGAGATTGAAGAGACAGGGAGTAATGGTAGCTCTTTCCAAAAGTTCAAGAGATAAATGATGACTAAAAATGGAGGAGACAAGACCTTAAATTGAATGCTTAGAACTGATGGGGAAGAATGCCACTGTGTGTTCATATTGCCATTCTTGTGAGTTAATACTTGACATCCCTGAAACATGTGTGCTCTAAAACACAATAGGTTGAGAAATAGTATAAAGAATATTAGAGCCAAGCGTTGGTGGTGCACACCTTTAATCCCAACACTGGGGAGGCAAAGGCAGGCGGATCTCTGTGAGTTCAAGGCCATCCTGGTCTCCAGAGCAAGTGCCGGGATAGGCTTCAAAGCTAAACAGAGAAACCCTGTCTCAAAAAAAAAAAAAAAACGAAAACAACAAAAACAAACAGACAAACAAAAAACAACAAAAAGAATATTAGTAAGGTTGTGTAATTCATAGTGAAGAGTTAATATAAATAGCTTCTTACCTTCAGAAGGGGCCTCAAAATCTATTTTAGTTTTCTATTACTCTTTTTGTTCTGAGCAGTTACACACCTGCTTTTAGCTTTTTTTTTTTTGAAAGTTATTTAAAATGAGTTACCAAATTACAAAACCAATTTCCACTACTCACACAAAAGCAAAGAACAGAATTAAAATGAAAACCTTTCATACCTTGCTTCAGAACCAACTTTCTTGGTAGTGCCTGTTCCTTAATTGTCTGTAAAATATGAAAGAGCAAATGCATATGTGATTTGTAGTAACCAAGCTTCGAGGTACCCGAGGAGGAGGAGGTGGGCACTACTTACAGGTTCTGCAATCCATTTAAGATTGCTGACTAGAGACCTCTGCTGCTGATCATCCCAATGAGTTTTACAAGAGGCCTTGGAAGAAACAAACTCTTACATCCGAGACAACAGCATTTTTTAAATTGTTTTTTCTCTTTTATTATTATTATTATTATTATTATTATTATTAATTAAAGTTAGGGAACTATTATTATTATTATTATTATTATTATTATTATTATTATTATTATTATTATTATTATTATTATTATTATTATTATTATTATTATTATTATTATTATTATTATTATTATTATTAATTAAAGTTAGGGAACAGGCTTGTTTCACATGTACTTCCCCTCTCCCTCTCCCTCCCCTCACCCCCATTCCTTCTCCCCCGCC